CAACGTGTGTAAGCCCTCTAGGAAATTCACCTTGCTCTGTGAGTTCCTCCACCTCCGTGGTCAATCGGTTTATTTGATTCACCAAGCTTCCCTGTGTCCAAACTCGCCCCTCTGCAACTTGTGGTTCTATTCCCGAGATGTCGCCCTTTACTCTTTGGACATTTTTCAGCCAGTTCTCAATTTCTCTCTTCCTTTTATTTCCGAACCTTGATTCTGCATATTCAACTTCCGTGAGGACGTCGGATTCCCTGCTAGTTAGTCTCTCCAGCTTTCGACGAAGTTTATCCATCTTCTCACCAGCATTAGTGTAAGAACCGACCATTCGAGCAAGACCAATGCTTGTGCCCACCATTTCTACCGTTTCCTTAACCATGTTCAGCTTGTCCATGCCTGCAGCCTGAAAGGACAAATTTACCCACAACCATTAAAAAGAGATATTCTCGATCAGATTGCTTTGGAACGAAATCTTTCTATTAAGATCATATCTGTCGCAAACAACCCGGACATGTCTTTTGTTCACCAAACTACAGTTTGCATACCAAAAATTTCTCTTTTTTTTTTTTTTTGCATTTTCCAATTTTTGTGTTCACCAAACTATAGTAGATGTCCGATACCTTCGTCTCGGCAGGATTGGACTTCTATTGCCGATCTCCCCTGATCATCGGTATCGGACTTCTCTCAATAAATGATAATAGAGCCAATTAAGATATATTAATTTCTCCGCGCTATATCAATTTTTCGACGTGAGACTTTTTAACACAACTCACACGTGGATGTCAACAAAAATGTCGTACATGAAAAAAAAACTCGGACGACTCCGGTAGATCAAACAGTATAAGGATGGATCGACTCTGTCTGAAAGTTTATAACACCACTAGAAGGCAAACGCACCCAACCTTCGCTCAATGATTCACAATTCATGCGTGCAAAAGAAAACTGGGCTTTAGATATGTAAAGAAAGGAACGACGAGTGTACCTGGAGCCAACCGCACCGATACTTGCGGAAGAACTTCCGACGAACAAGATGCAAAGAGAGAAGACCGGACGGTGATACTGCTACCCAAATTCAACAGAGAGCAACTGGTTTAGGTTTGCAGAGAAGCGAAGACTTCTTTGTGGCCTTACAGGACTTTATTACACAGAGCATTGAGTTTAAAAAGTCAACTAGTACAATTTCTAGAAAAAAAAAAAAAAAAGTCAACTAGTACAGTTGTCCCTGATTTTTCTTTTTTGGGTCGAAAGTTATCCCTGATTTAAATAACTCACCAGGAAAACACCAGGAAGGACCGAAGGAGAGAGAGTGGGGCGTAAAAAACGTATAAAGTAGCAGTCAGAGACACGACAGATTCTCTTTAATGAAAATGATGTTAACTAAACACAAAATTAGGCGCACAGAAACATTACTTTCAATTAAGAAAAGTTTAAATTAATTAGAAACCCCTAATTTGTCGTTTGAAAAAAATAACACAAATGATACCTGAATTTTAATTCAATATGTAATATTTTCTCTAAATTTTTAAATTGTTCAACGTAACCCCTAAATTATTGGCAAATGTTGAATGTTGTTCTTTCGTTTGCTCAGATGACAAATCATACGTTATTTAATGACGTGGATTATTATATGTCAAGTTAGATTTTTTTAAAATGATGAGTCAACATGTCCATCTTTTTTATTCATATATTTTAGAAAAAGAAAATAAAACTTAGGGCATTAACATGTCCATCGTTATGTAACGACGTGAATCATTTTATGTTGAGTTAGATTTTTCAAAATGATGAGTTGACATATCCATCTTTTTTATCCATCTACTTTAGAAAAAGAAAACAAAAATTAGGACATTAATATATCCATCGTTATGTAATGACGTGGATTATTATATCATGATTTGATATGGATATCTTACTTGAATAATACACGTGTAGTTTTTTTTTTTTACTTATCCACCATTCAAAATTAATAAATTGGAACACATCAGCATATTCCGTTACTTGAATTAACGAAAGGACATTATTGATCTAGGGACTAGATTGAATATTTATCAATAGTTCAGGGACCACATTGAATAAATTAAATGTCCAAGGACGATATTGCACATTGGATCATAGTTTAGAGACCATTTGTGTCATTTTCTCTTTATAAATAAAAATAAAAACAAAGTAACCAAACTACCACTAAGCAAATATAATCTCTGTAGATATCTAGTGTTTCGTGCATGAAAACACGAACCCTATTCCTGGCAGATAATTCTCTAATAGCGTTGGTAATTCTTATAATCGGTTGGTAACTAGAAATTGATAAACAACTTATTTAGTCTATGACATACTAGGACGTTACCTACAGTTTAACGGATGTACCAACGATTATTTAACCTGTAATGTGTGAGTAAGTAACCAATAGTTTTGTGGAAGTACCAATAGTTATTTAATTTTTTTATTTACTAACAGTTTTTATAAATTATGAATATTTACTCAAGTAGTTTATCAGGCTATCGGCATGTTAAAGTTACTAAGCTTTTATAAAAAAAAATAATATTAACTCTTATTCAAGTCTATTTACCAACTTTTATTTGATTTTTTCAAAATTATCAATTGTTCTAAAAACTTACCAACATTTATTTGTTAAAGTTACTATTGTATTAACAATATTGATTTGAGTGATTTACCAAATCTTCAGGGATTAAGGTACCATTTAACTTTAGCTTTACTTGCTCTTATGTTAGCGAGTAACCAATGTTTATTTAAATGTCTCCAGATTACCACCTGTTATGATAATTTATCTACTCCTTGTTTGCGATTGTTATCAACATTTTAAAAGTACAAGCTCTTATAACCAATTACCGATTTTTATTTGAGTTCACATATGAATGTTTATTAAGATTGTAACTTTAACACGTTGGAAAGCTCCCTTAATAATGTGGATAAATTATTGAAACAATTGGTATTTTTGAAATAATCGAATCAAAGTTGATAAATGACTCAAATAAGAGTTGGTAATTTTACGTAAGAGATGATAACTTAAGCTCCGCAAATAAATGTCCGTAAAAGATTGGAATGTATTTCGTAATTTTGAAAAAAGTTAGTGATTTCGTGTAAGAGAAGTGACTTTAACTTGCAGGTAACCTCTAAATTAACATTGGTAAATTATTGAAATAGTTGGCACTTTTGAAACAATCAAATAAACATTGATAATTAACTCACTAAGAGTTGACAATTTCGGATAGTAGTTATTAAACTCTTTTCCAGTTGGTAAGGTGCCATAAATATTGGAAATGATTAGAACACGTGGTAGTATTAAAACAGTCAATTTGACATTAGTAACTAACTGAAATATCAGTGGGTAGTTTCATTTAAGAGTTGGTAAATTATTAGAATTGTAGATAATTTTGAAAATAGTTGGTAATTCTGTAACAACGTTATGGGCTTTAACATGTTGGTAACTTTAAAAAGCAAAGGGAAAATGACACAAATGATCTTTGAACTTTGACCCAATGTGCAGTGTGGTCCCTGAACTTTCAACTTATTCAATATGGTCCATGAATTTTAGCCCAATGTGCAATATAGTCCCTGAACTTTCAACTTGTTCAATATGGTCCCTAAACTTTTGGTACATATTCAAACTAGTCCATGGACTATATGAAAATGTTCAATGTTGTTCCTGAACTTAAATTAATGAAAGGATAGCATTGGATATTTTCATATAGTCTAGGGACTAGTTTGAATATTTATCAAAAGTTCAGGGACTACATTGAACAAATTAAAAGTTCAAGGGTTACATTACACATTGGGCTAAAGTTCATAGACCACATTGTACATTGAGCCAAAGTTTGAGTACTATTTGCGTCATTATCCCAAAAGCAAATATACTTATAGTTCAGTCGATATTTTTCAAAACAATCTTATAAGCTTTGATGAGGGACTCAAATAACAATTGGTAATTTCCAAGAACAGTTAGTAACTTGTACAAGTTGGTAAAATTATGCAAATAAATGTCGGTAAATTAATAGAATAGTTGGTAATATGAAAACAATCAAATAAAGTGAGTAGTGACTCAAATAAAAAATTGATGATTTCCTACGAAAGTTAGTAAATCTAACATCTTAGTAAATTTAATAAATATATGTTGGTAAAGTATTGGACATCGATAATTGCAAAAAATCAAATAATATTGGTGAAAATGACACAAACGATCATTTTTTAGATAAGTGTTTTTTAAATTATTCAGTTTTCGCAAAACACACTCTCTTTATATCAATCTAACTTGTGATTCGTTACGCCATTGTTTTTATTCTTCGTATGTGATCACCGCGGACATATTCTTGGTCTTTGGTTGGGATCCCCTGTTTTCATAGGGTGGGAAACCTTTAGTTTCGAGGTATTTACCTTGCCACGTCACGTGGTGAAAGAGTAGCGTCATCACGCGCTTCCGATTCACGCGCTTTCGTCGAAAGGGCGGAAATTAAAAAACGACCGCCCACAAAGTTTGACCCGACGAAGCGAGAATGCGATCACAGAAAACAAAACTGGTCGCCCACCAAGTTTGACGCAACGAAAGGGAGAATACTGGTAAAAGAACAACTGCATCCTGTCTTACTTGGCAAAGCCCGCATCATATCTCCAATGAAATTGGAATTTAGAAATCTTAAAAGGAAATTGCCAGTGCACCTTGAGCCAAGCGCACTGGTACTTGTCGCAGCCCTCGCCGCCATGTGTTGGTCGACCTCACACACGGCCGCGAGGGCCGTGGACCATTGTCTCTTTCTATTGTCCTTTAAAATCCTCTCAATAATTTTTTCATTCTTTTATTCGGTTCATGAGTTCTTCCAATCTATCAATCCCTCTATCTTCACACATATACAGAGACGGAGGTCTCTCTCTCTTTAATAGCTATTTATCAATATCTGCAAAGTAATTTTGTACCATGTTCACACTCAAAAATAATCTGAGTTATAATGGACCGGTGAGACTTCATGGTACATTGTCGACGTGATAGCAGACCACTATTACAAATCGGCAACTAAGATAGGTAGCCATCGTCGATGGAAGAGATTCGGTAAAGGCCAGAAATCGACACACGAGAACATATATCTCATTGAACATCCCATGTCATTGTACGTAATCTCTATCCGTTGGAGAGTACGAGAGCCAGCAGAAGAAAGATAAGAAGAAGGTGGTTCCGCCTCCTGAGGGAGGCATACACGGAGCGGTATCCTTCTCAGCTTGCAACATCCTTCGAGTGTAATATACTCAAGAGAATTACAGACTATTGTGCTGCTACATATGCTTTCCAGCGCGTGTAAATCCCTTAACACTAAAGTCCTTAACTTTGGGAGAGTTAAAGCAGAAGTTGTTTGGTCTCCTGTCACTTTTATGAGCTCCTCGACTTCGCTGCAGCATTGGATAGAAAGCACCTCCAAGTTTGCGAGGAGGGGCAGCAGCGAGTGGGTCAGCAGCTTCTTCATTTTGCAGCATTTACTGATTTCGAGCTTTTTCAGACCCCAGAAGGTATTATTTTTGGATAGCACCCGCAGGAATGCACTCGCAGCAGCAAAGTTCTCTTCTACCTCCACTAGGACGCGGAGGTCCTCAAGTGTATCTAGTCTTAGAAACTCAAGGCTTCGAAGATGGCTGTATCTGTGTGAGAGGAAATCCATGGACAGCAGAACCACACACTCCATGGATTTAACTTTCCCAATCATGCAGGCCTTCATGTTGGTTACCTGTTGAAATGATGGGATGTTCATTAGGCTTCTCAGGTCATCCTCCACCAACCTTTCAATTATCAGCAATTCAACTTCTCTTGGGAGCAGAAGCCGCTCTTCCCATTGCCATCCTTGAGCGATGCAACTTAATCTCACGATTTTGTTATAATCTTCCATGCTTCCTATTAGAGCCTCATCATAATCGACACATCCCAGTCTCAAGTCCCACTTCTTTGGACCTTTTCCATCATTCAGATATGCCGTGTACAGATTAAATTCATTTTCATCAGCGAAATTGCATTTTAAATCTTCCAAGTTTCTCATACTCATTATCTCCCTTCCTGCCGCATAAAATTTACTGCCAAGGTTGAGGTATTGCAGATGAGCAAGTTTCGGCAGAACTCCAAGAGGCAGTTTCCTTGGGTCTGAACCATTCAAATCAAAACTTCTTAGATTTACCAATCTCTCTAACCCTTCAGGTGCATCCCGGATTCCACTTTCACACAGATCTAAAGTTCTTAACTCCTCCATCTTTTCCACAGATGGGACTAATTCTAATCCCCTGCACCCCCCGAGCAACAATGCAATGAGGTTCTTCAAGTTGGATGTTGAACATGGCAGAAACTTGATATTTGTCCGAGATAGATCGAGAACTTGGAGAGCAGGCATGTTTTCGAAAAACGCATTGGGTAATGCCTTCAAGGAAGTGTTATTGCTCAAGCGAAGGAACTTAAGTCTAGGACACTTGGTCGCTATCCCTTCCGGGATTCCCTCAATGAGATTTCCCATTAAGGAAACTCCCTCAAGATTCTCTGTCCATTTTGCCTCTTCAGGTATCTCTCTCAAATGCAACCCTGCTTTCACCATATATCTAGATCTCATCATGTGGATTGCCATGTCCCTGAGCAAGTCATGCATCTTCAATTCCTCAGTTTCTTGTCCAGAGATGTTCGTGCGTTTAACACTTTCCAACAAGCAGACGTTAAGTAATTTATTCACCAACGTATGTCCCCTATGGTACTCCACTTCCCGACTTCTGCTGCATATCAATCGGATATCCATGAAATATCGAATGAGCTCACTTCTTTCAGTCATGTAATCCTCAGGATATAATGCCATATGCAGGAAACACCGTTGCGCCATCGCATCATTCAGTCGAGTATAGCTAATTCTCAAAACACCAAATACCTTCTCTTTCATGCATTCTTCCGTGAAGTTTGCTTCTTTCAATGCTTCTAATGCATTTCTCCACTCATGGATGTCCTCCGTCCCCCTCATGCTTCCAGAAACCACCACAATCCCAAGAGGCAAACCTCTGCATTCCTGTGCGACAGACCTTGCTATATTTTCTACTTCAGGTGGGAAGGCTTTTGTGCGCCCCAGATTCTTCATGAACGAGTGCCAAGCTTCATTCTCGAGGAGAGTCTCTACTTTGACAGAAACTTGGCATTCCATCTGGTTACACACATCCAGCTTCCTGGTTGTCAGGATCAGTTTACACCCGTTCTCGTCTACCGGGAGTCCCATCTCTTTTAGATCATACGTATTCCATATATCATCCCAGATGAGGACAAATTTTTTTCCCCGCGGGAAGTTTGATAATCTTCCAACTCGATTAATCCTATCATCCATATTTGACAGATCAAGATTCAGACATTTTGCAATCTTGTATTACAGCTCGTCAGGGCTACATTTTTGGGATACGACCACCAAACTGACCTTCTGATTAGTGTTATGCGCCTTCAAAAGCTTATTGTAGATATGTGTTATCAGAGTGGTCTTCCCAACACCTCCCAAACCAAAAACCCCAATTCTCCACGCGTCATCATTCATCAAGTAAGATAATATCTTTTGCAGATTTTGTCTAAAAGTGTCGCTGACTAATTCCTTTGTCAGCAGTTCATATCCCCTGATATAATTTTGTGCGAGTCTGCCACCAAATTCACCTTGCTTTCTAAGTTCCTTCACCTCTTCGATCAATTGATTCGTACGATTTACCAAGTTGATCAATGAAGTGATTCTTGAGAGAAGTCTCGCATTTGCAACTTCTTGTTCTAAGCTTGAGATTCATCCTTTTTTCTTCGTACATTGCTCAGCCAATTCTCAACTTCTCTCTTTCTTTTTCTTCCAAGAGTTGACTCCGCGTGTTCTACTTTCACAATTATGTCTCCTCCGCTACTAATAAGACTCTTGAGCTCGCTTTTTAGGATGTGCATCTTCCCACTGGTATCACCATAATTGTTGATGCAACCCCAGATGATTTGAAAATTACGACCAAATTCTGCTAGTGCATTGATGCAGTATTGCATCTTATTACCTGAAAAGGACAAGTTTGGCAGTCCGATGTGGAAGAGAAATTCTATCTATGTTTGATTTTAATGCCATTCTATTGTTGCAATCAACACTAAACCTTTTACTAGCCAAAAAACAACTGATATTGATTGGGATAAAATTCCCATTGTCCGGAAGAGTTAACTTGAAGCTGATGTACATGCTAAACCTCCATTTTATCTGTTCTTGATATGCAATGAGATATTATTTTAACCGCCAAGAGAACATAAAACAAGCCATAGTCTACGTCACTAATAGTGCACCTTATCGGGAAGACATCAGTTAGAACAACAGATGAATCGAGTCACAATCAAATTTAATGTGCTGTTTGACACTAAGGAGATCATTTTGGACGGGTCTAATTAACTAAGCACTCAGAAGCCTTTTGAGAGTGAAAAATATCAGTTAAAACCACTTAGCTGAATCAGACACAGTGAACAGAAGTCTTAAACTCAAACCAGATTCGTAGAATCGGGATTTCTTTCCTTTGAGCATCATAATAGGTTGGAACTATAAATGCCATTTGATAGCGGCATTGGATTCAGTTTGGATTCTGACCCAATTTGAAACTATGGAAAAGATACCAACGGAAAACAGATCATATCCATACAGTTAAACCTTCCACACAGACTGCAGGTTTATGTTTCGGATTTCTGCTGATGTTTCTGGGCTGAGGCACGTGAAGGATCACCATCCAAACATGCATTAGTCTCGTGTAGACAAATATTGCTATTCAGTAAGTCTATATTTTCAAGATTCTCTATGACTGGATGATCGGTAGAATGAACTTTTTCTTTTTCAATATGTCAGATATAGGGGAGCCAAACTCAGGCCGGCCTGATTGCATCAAACACTATAAAAACTACCCTCTTCTTTAGCTCAACGAATCATCACGACTGGACATATTACGTCAAGTAATGAACAAATTCGGATGATGAACTTCTGCACATAGATTCAACAAGTGTACCTCGACTCGTGCTTGCAGATTCCAGAGAAGGAAGGACCTGTACGCTGTGGAGAAGCAGGCAAAAGCTTCTGTGGAAATTAAAAAAAAATGGCATTTTCTTTTGTTTTTGTTTTGACCCCCCAAAATATCTACAGATAAGGAAGTTCCGGGAAATTACATAGACCTGTCTCTCCAGAATTTTTTCTTCTGTTCTTCCCATTCTCTCCTTTCCTTTCCTTTCTTGAATCGACCCCGTGACTCATCAGAAAAGCGTATGACCTCTCTGAATTCTTTCCTTCCAGGCACTTTAGACGGAGGGGTCCAACGGAATTCGCCAATTTTCATACGATATATGCACTTAAGAAAATTCCAAATAAAAATTTGAAGTGACTTTATTTTATCAAATAAGGACATGAAGTAAACTTGATTTTTGAAGTGGCCATTTCAATTTCAAAGAAGGGGTGATCTCACCAGCTGATCAAGTGCATTTTCTTCTTTTAATTTTTTTTGATTTTTTTCTTACTTTTATCCTTTTTTTGTATTTTTCTTTCCATAAAAAAAGAAAAAAAGAAAAAAAAAGACTGGTTTTCCTGTTTTTTTTCTTCAGGAGTTTGGTACATACTCTGAGGATGGTCTTCCTATTTGCACCACAGTAGTTCTAGATCTAATGGAGGAAGTTCTGTTCGGTAGTTTCGCGACGTCGATCCGAATTTATCCGGATAAAGCCGGAATAGAATGATGGATAACTTATCCGGGTCTTGGAATTGAGGAATTGAGTAATGGGTCCTCCCTACCTAGCGAAATCACCATCGATGCCCATCTCATGCAAGCTTGTGCTTGTGGGCTTTTTGAGAGTTCTAGCAAACTGGTTTTGTGATAATCACCTCGGATGTTAGATTATAATTTCTTACATAAAATATTTTAAAACATGGAGGGACCTCACTTCTCAGGCGGGTTTTTATTCTTTGGATCTTAGGTCTCAGGTCTTCAGTTAGTTTAATGCCTGAATGGGATGCATGGCTCATCTTTTCTTGATAACTCATCATTTCTGAATCTTTTCTAATGGCAGATAACTCCATTTTCGGGACCACCTTTGCCTTCTTCAAGTTTTCAACCATTTGACGTCTCCGTCGTCAAGAATCTTAATATTTGACATTTATTTTCGTTGAGGAGGGTACAATAAACCAAAACGCCGAAATGGGATGTAAAATTATGCATTTATTTTGAATCTTTAGTCACAGAAATTGCAAAAGATTGAGTGCTTAAAATGCATCGTTCTATAGCATGGTCAAGAGAGGTTTCTTCTTTATGAAGTAACAGCAACCTCTCATTGCTTGCTTCCACTGTGATTTTGAGTTATTTTATTTTCATTCTATGTTTGGCGGATGATATTGAGAGGTAACGTGGGTTGGAACTTGGAATTAGCTGTGCATAGAGAGCAACTATTGTCGATAGGGGTGGTAAAATGCGGTTGTCCTAATGAACATCTCAAGGGACAAGGAGACGAAGCATTATAGAAAGACAAGTCTCTTCATGGGGATGGCTTTAGTCCAGTTTTAAATTGCCGGTCTTCTTTATTTTCTCCGAAATCTCTCTCACCTGAGCAGAGGCTCTTGCACAAGCTTAACAACCATTGATCAGGTATGAGATCCTTTCTGAGTGCGCAACATTCTTGTGGAACTCGAGTCTTAGTAGAACCAGTCAAATCGACGGGCCACTTACGTTAGGAAACCCTAGAAACTCGAATTTCAGAGAAAGCTGAGAATTTAGGAGACATTTACGACAAGCTGAGGCCTTCGAATCGTGTTACCTCTCAATTTCGTGCATGTCGTGGCATTGTACCACGAGGCCTACGAAATTGAGAGGAGGAGGTGAGGTTGATAAGAAACTTCAAGATGTTATAGTGCGCAGCCAAATTTTCTCAAAGTTTTCTGTCCATTCTTTATGCTCTGATATCGTCCATTCCAATTTGCTTCAAAGACCGCAACCTAGAATTTACAATCCAAAATGACATGAGAGAGGCAGCTCAGTTTATGGTCAGGATTAGCAAAACATTCGAGGTACTAGGATGGGAATTGACAATCGAATAGTAATTCAGGATTTGCTTCTTGGCACGACGTTACGGTCTTAGCGTTGGGGTGTAGTTCATACTCCCAATCGACAGAAAGGCATGAGAATCCCGTTCTATTCTATTGGTAGTTTGGGCTTGGGCGTAAGACGTCTAGTGTTCACTTCAGCGATTTCCGATTAAAATTAATTGGATGGACTCAATTGGCAAAATTAAAAAATTTAAAACTGAATTGAAAAAATTGCAATATGTCTCAAACTTTTTGCACAATTTTCTCAAATTGAGTAGAAGGGATTTAATAGCTTAAGCGAGCACATAAATTATGGCACAGTAAAGTAATTGGTACATAACCTAATCCATTAGGTTAGTGACCCATTTTTATGGCAAAAAAATAAAACGTTATTCGTGAATTTTTTGAGAGAGATCAAAGTGAGGAATCACTTTGATTAATATATACAAATACGGACAAGATATATATAGACTGCCATACACAAGTTGGACATTGTCACATCCCTTGGATCATGCGTGTCCTACATGACCCGCACAATTTAACAATTCAACAGTTGGGGTGAAGTGCGTGCATAATGTTACCCACATCACCGAAGAAAAACACAATTCCGTCACCAGTATTTAACGTACGGGTCAAGAAAGGACTTGGAAAGGGAATCGTTCCACACCACCGATTTCCACCATTCCTCCTCACCACTTGGAAGCCAAATTCTTTGTAGACAACCAGAAGGAGGTTCCCCATCTCGAGGGAGTTGCACAAGGAGAGAAATGCATTCTAGCTTCGGACATCCCCGTAAGTATATTTTTTGGAGAGAATGACAGCTTATCGTCGCCCCACATATGCTTTTTAGTGCAGGAAGACTCCCTAACTTTAAGGTCTTCAACTTAGGGAGGGATAGAGCGGAAGCGAGATGAACATGATTGGCCTCACTCCTCGTATAGCTCCCTCTGGTGTCTCCCTCTTCCTTACACCCCATATCTACTTCCGTCATTGCTATGACCTCCTCCATTTGATCACACCCATTGATAAAAAGCTCCTCCAGGTTTGAAAGGAGGGGTAGCAACACATGCGTCAGGAGCCTCTTCATTTTTTGACATTCAAAGATAGTGAGTTCCTTGAGACCCCAAAACTTGTCACCTTCATATAGCACTCCTGGGACTGCAGGCGCAACAGCACAGGGTTCTTCCTCAGCTAGCGCACGTAGATCCGTCATGCCTCCAAGTTCGAGAGATTCTAGGCTTGGAAGAGGAGAAGATGAGGATTGTGACACCACATACTTCATGCCGCGTATCCCACTCAGTGTCAACATCGTCAGCTTTGAGTTTGTTATGATTGGAATGTCCGTCAAGCTCTTAGGCTCATCAACTGCACCTGTGATCTCCAAGAGCTGAACATCTTTTGGGAGCAGACGGGGGGTTTTAGGTCCATCTCCTCCGACATGACACCCAAGCAGCCTCACTGTTCTAGTGGGAACATCCCCAACGAAGTAATTATCATCCCAAGGACCTTCAATTAACTCAATTTCCCACTCCTTGGGACCGCCAGCCTGTAAATGTTTCACATACAAGTCATAGTTTTGGACATCGCCAAACTTGCAACTCAGCTTCTCCAACTTGCTCAAACTCATTATTTCCTGAGCCTGTACTCTCAAGCTGTTGCATTGACTCTTAAGATTTAGGGTTTGCATGTTAGAGAGCTTGGGCAGAATTCCAGGAGGCAATTTCTCTAGATTTGACTTGCCAAAATCCAGGCATCTTAAATTCACCAATTTGTGCAGTCCTGCAGGGACTTTTTCAATAGCACTGCCAGAGAAATCCAACGTTCTCAATGCCCTCAGTTTTGCCAATGAAGGCACGCGCCATAAGCATTTACAACGACGCAGTAACAAATGCGTGAGGTTCACCAGGTTAGAGATTGAACTGGGCAACATCTCAATACTCGTCATAGACAGGTCCAGAACTTGAAGAGCGGGCATGCAACAAAAGAATGAACCATCTATCCTTTTCAAGATATTATAACTCATATAAAGCTCCAAAAGTTGAGGCAGATCCCAGCTTCGCCGTCTCACTGCTGGTATTTCGATTAATGAATTTTTAATCAAGGATACTTTCTCTAAGTCCTTAAACCATTCTTCCTGCGCTGGAATTGTGCACAAACCTAGCCCGGCTTTCACCATGCATTGAGAGCCCATCATATTGATTGCCATGTCCCTGACTAAATCGTGCATCTTTAAACGTTCATAAGAGGGAAGCCCTGATTTTTCCAGCAAGCAGACGTTGACTAATTTATTCACAATGGTGTGACCCCTATCGTACTGTGCTTCTCGACTTTTCAAGTCACTAAAGAAATCGAGATAATCAAGATTTCGCAGCAAGTCTTTGATCTGGATGACAAAATCCTCAGGGTACAGTGCCAGATGCAGGAAACACTGTTGCACAACCTGATCATTCAGGCGAATAAAACTGAACTTTAGTACTCTGAATACCTTATCTTCCATGCCTTTACCTTCAAACCTTGCTTCTTTTAACTCATTCAGGGCACTTCTCCACTCGTGAATGTCCTCCTCCTTCCCTCGCATACTTCCAGAAACCACCACTATACCAAGAGGCAATCCCGCACATTCCTTTGCAACAGACTTCGCAACACTTTCTACTTCAGGAGCGAAAACAACTCCTCGTCCAAGATTTTTTACAAACAGTTGCCAGGCTTCATTTTCAGGAAGCGACTTTAGCTCAACCAGTTCATCGCAATTCATCTGCCGACATATGTCCAAGGACCGAGTTGTTAGAATTAACTTGCATCCATTCACACCAAGTGGAATTCCAACCTCCTGCAGATCATAAGCGTGCCATAGATCATCTAAAATAATGATGGTGCTTTCTCTCTTCAGTAAGTGTGATAATTCGGCAGCCTGTTTGATTTTATCTTCCTTCTTTATCAGGTCATGTTTAAAACATTCCCATATCCTTTGTTGCAATGTAGGAACATCACATTCTTGGGACACTGTTACCCAGCATACTTTCCTCAAAGGGCTTGCCTTTAGGAGATGGTTATGGACATGGGTGACGAGGGTTGTTTTTCCAACTCCACCCATACCATAAATGCCGACGGTCAACACGTCATCTTCCATCAAACGAGACAGCACTCTATCTTGATTTCGTCTGAAAGCCTCACCAACCAATTCCACAGTCAACAACTCGTATGTCCTGGTATCTTCTTCAACGTGCGTGAGCCCTCTAGAAAATTCACCTTGCTCTATGAGCTCCTCCACCTCCGTGGTCAATCGGTTTATTTGATTCACCAAGCTTACCTGTGGACGAACTCCCCTGTCTGCAACTTGTGGATCTATTCCCAAGATGTCGTCCTTTACTCTCTGGACATTTCTCAGCCAGTTCTCGACTTCTCTCTTCCTTCTATTTCCGAGCCTTGATTCTGCATATCCAACTTCCGTGAGGACGTCAGATTCCCTGCCACTTAGTCTCTCCAGCTTTCGACGAAGGCTATCCATCTTCCCATCAGCATTAGTGTTAAGAACTGACCCTTTCAGCACATCGTCAACGATTTTCCTGATAAACTCCCCTTCATGCCTGTAATGTTAAAACTTATTATAGGATTGACGCACAAACTGCATAGGAATGTAATAGATCATTGAGAAATTTATCAAAATCTCTCCAGCCATTACTTTTGACAACAAAAGCATAAAAATGCCTAAAGTGAGTTTCTAAGGAATTCGGAAAATCTAGATTTCATGTACCGTGCTTTCTTTGATCTTGGTCTGAAGATATCAAAGCTAATTATGCCAAATCAAGGACTGCCATATTCCCAAGTTCAACATTATGCCTTTGAAAGTTTTGTCAAATTCACATTAATTGATGATTACAAAAATGTATTGGATTGTACTTTCTTGATGTCATATAAGAATCAATTCTAATCTTAAAATGTAGTCGAATTCTTAGATGATTGATAGACTAGGATATAATATTCTTGAACCCCAATTTACAAAGGTCAAATAGAATTACCCATCTGCAACATTTCTGAGAACCCAGCCTGATAAATTTCCCACTTGTGTGAGAGCCGCCTTCCACTGAACAACTTTGTCCTTCTCTCCCTTGAATCGTTCTTCGAGATTAGCAAATGCCTCTGCAAAACTGCCCGTCTGTTTCCGCACATCCGAAGGATCGATGTCATAGAACACGGGAAGAACCAATTGCCCCAGGTCTTGCCTGCACTCCATTATTTTCACGAGCTCCTCGAGACACCATCTTGAATGAGCATAGTTCCTCGAGAAAACAATCACTGATATCCTTGACCCTTGTATGGCTTTTCCAAGTTCAGATGAAATTACTTTTCCTCGGGGAAGCGCATCATTGTCTCTGAAAGTGTTGACTCCGGCATCTTTAAGGGCGTGATAAAGGTGGTCGGTGAAGTTTCTCCTGGTGTCTTCGCCTCTAAAGCTCAAGAACACATCGTACATCCATGGACGACAAGTGGAGAGACCGGAAGATGAACCTTCCATCGACTAAAAGATGAAATTACAGATTGCTCTTTAGTCGAGAAAGAAGACACTGGAGATGTAGAATGCGTGCATCGGAGAAGATGATCACTAGGCAAAGAGATGAAACTCCTATTCAAACCCGGCCGGCTCTCAGTGTTTTGTTTTAATGGAACCTTCTCCACCTGTTTCTTACTCGAGGAGACTTTGTTGCACTTTGTGTCCTCTTGTTTAGAATATAATATTGTGATCTGTGACCTGTTTTCGTAGTTCTAATCCAATTTAACATAGGGTAAATTTATCATAAGTATATTAATTTGGTATTTTTTGTGATCAAAAACTTAGTTCGGAGTAAATTTATCACAGGTGTATCAGTTTGGGATTTTTGGTGAGCAAAAAATTAATTCGGGGTAAATTTATCACAAGTGTACTGGTTTGAGGTTTTTTATGATAAAAAATTAATTTAGAGTAAAATTATCACAGATATACCAGTTTGAGGTTTTTGTAGTATTAACCATTTTTTATTTTCCTATTCTTTTGTCCCTTTCTTTTTTCTCGCCTCTTAGTCAGCTCTCCATATAATAGGTATCGGAGTTCTACTACGCGCTTGCAACAAATGGTATTAGAGCCAATTAAAATATATTAATTACTTCACACCACATTAATTTTTCGATCTCTAACATAACTCGCATGTGCATCTCAATATTAACCTCATACATCAAAAAACTCGGACCACTCCGGTAGATCAAGAGTGTAAGGATGGATCGACTCTGTCTAAAAGTTTATAACACTACTAGAAGGCAAACGCACCTGACCTTTGCTCATTGATTCACACAATTCATGCGTGCAAAAGAAAACGGGGCTTTAGATATGTAAAGAAAGGAACGACGAGTGTACCTGGAGCTAACCGCACCGATACTTGTGGAAGAACTTCCGACGAACAAGATGCAAAGAGAGAAGACCGACGGTGATACTGCTGCTCAAATTCGACAGAGAGAGAGAGAGAGAGAGAGCAACTGGTGTGGGTTTGTGACGGCCCAAGCCAAGTGGAGGAGTGCGGGGAGGAGAGATGGCGGTGTGTCCGCGCCACTACTCCGGACGTGCGCAAGGAAGTGGGGTACCTCTCTTATCCCACATCGCCTAGGGGGAAAGTTCTGGGCTAGCTTTTAAGGCTTGGGGTTCTATATCTGTGTAACGCGTTTTACACAAGTTTCTGCTGCTTTGAGAACAAAGCCTTGAGGGAAGCCCGTAGCTGGGATGGCGATGCGTTCGCGCCAGTGCAGGAGGCCCAAAGAGGATAATATTGGGCCGGGATGAGGGATGGTAGTGCCGTTGCGTCTTAGTTTTAAAATCGTGAGGGTTAGTGGGCCCAAAGCGGATGATATTATGCAGCGGGAAACTTCTTTATGGACTTACAGGACTTGAGCATTGAATTTAAGTCAATTGGTACAGTTGTCCCGATCTATTTTTTTGTGGTCGAAAGTTATCCCTGATTTAAATTACTCACCAGGAAGGAATAAAAACACTAGAGAGGACTGAAGGAAAGACAATGGGACCTAAAAAAATATAGGGTTAATACCACAAAAAATTTTAAATTGATATATTTGTAATAAATTTATTTTAAATTAATTTTTTGACCACGAAAAATACTAAATTGATACACCTGTGACAAATTTACCCTCTATTAGTTTCCGTTAAATTTTACCATCAAATTATTGAGTTTGATGACATGTAACAGTTGAAGGGTGTTTCTTTACCAAAAAAAAAAAACAGTTGAAGGGTGTACCAATTTGGGATTTTACCCCTCCGTATGTCACAGGTTTATCAATTTGTGGTTGTTCGTGGTATTAATCCAATTAATAGACGGTAAATTAGTCACAAGTGTACCGGTTTGGGATTTTTTATGATCAAAAAATTAGTTCGGAGGTAAATTTGTCATAAGTGTACAAGTTTGGGATTTTTCGTGGTATTAACCCAAAAGTATAAAGTAGCAGTCAGACACGACAAATTCTCTTTAATGAAAATGATGTTAAATAAACACATTATTGGGAGCAACTTAACATTACTTTCAATTAAGAAATGTTTGAATTAATTAGAAACCCCTAATTTGTCGTTTGAAAAAATGACACGGATAGTCTATGAATTTTGGTCCAATGTGTAATGTCATTATTAAACTTTTAACTTGTTCAATGTAGTCCCTAAACTATTGACAAATGTTCAATGTTGTCCTTCCGTTTGCTCAGATGACAAATCATATGTTATTTGACGACGTGAATTATTATACGTTGAGTTAGATTTTTAAAATGACGAGTCAACATACTCATCTTTTTTATCCATCTACTTTAGAAAAGAAAAAAAAAACTTAGAGCATTAACATGTCCATCGTTATGTAATGACGTAGATTATTATATCCTAATTTGAAATGAATATCTTACTTAAATAATACACGCGTAACTTTTTTTTTTAACTTATCCACCGTTCAAACTTAACAAATTGAAAATCACATCAGCAGATTCCATTACTTGAGTTAACGAAAGGATAACATTGAACATTTTCATATGATTCAGGGACTAAATTGAACATTTACCAATAATTTAGAGACCACATTGAATAAATTAAAAATCCAAGGATGACATTGTACATTGGATCAAAGTTTAGAGATCATTTTTGTCATTTTCACTTTATAAATGAAAACAAAAGCAAAGTAACCAAACTACCTCTAAGCAAACATAATCTCTGTAGATATCTAATGTTTCGTGCGTGAAAACACGAAATATTGTTCCGTGTAGATAATTCTCTAATAGCGTTGGTAATTTTTATAATCTGTTTTACCAACAGTTTTGTGGAAGTGCCAATAGTTATTTGATTGTTTTATTTACTCACTGTTTCTATAATTTACCAATATTTACTTGGTAGTTTATTAGCATGTTAAAGTTACTGAGATTTGATATAAAAAAAAATATTAACTCCTATTTGAGTCTATCTACCAACCTTTAATTGATTGTTTCCAAATTACCAATTGTTAAAAGAGCTTACCTATATTTTTTTGTTAAAGTTACTACTGTATTAAAGTTACCAAGTCTTACAGTAAATTAGCAGTATCGAATTGAGTGATTTAGCAAATCTTCAAGATTAAGTTAACGTTTAACTTTAGCTTTACTTGCTCTTATTTTAGTGAGTAACCAATGTTTATTTAATTGTCTCGAGATTAACACCTGTTATAATAATTTACCATATGTTGTTTGCGATTGTTATCAACATTTTAAAAGTACGAGCTCTTATACATAGTATGTATACCAAACTAGAATTTCTTTAAACTCCGTCCAATAAGCTTTATTCGAATAGCAAAATAAATCCTAAGCCACCCCCATCACACTCGTTGTGAACACATAGAGTGAGCCAAAACCAACCTGTCGAAATCACACTTAGGCTAGCATGCAATACCACTTCTCACTAGTCATTTTAATATTGTAAATGATTAGATATATCCAACCCATCGCTTACGGTAGAACATTAGAGTCACGCTTCGCCAAGTGACAAGGCCTCGAAACTACATCAGCTGTAGCCTATAGTTAAGCCCCAATATTAACATCGATCGTAATCAAGCCCCAAAACAGAACCGGTCCCTAAGCGTATGCCATTTCTCGATACGCAGGTCGATCATGAACATCAATCCAATGTCCATATGTCATGATATATATGGTTTTCCTTTCGGTGCATTTCTTAACTCTGTCACTGCATTTCTCCATGCGCGAATGTCCTCCTTTCCTCGCGTGCTTCCCGAATTCACCACGATCCCAAGAGGCAGAACCGCGCACGCCTTAGCAACTGACCTTGCAACCCGTTCTCTACTTCAGCAGAGGACAGACCATCACGTCCCACATTCCCCGCGAATAAGAATTAGTAACTTGAACGTTGAGCTAAATCACACAAATAAGAATTAATAACCGGGAAAAATGCAGTAAAACGCGCAAATAATTTTCTACATGAATTAGTAACTTTGGTGAACTACCAAACTTAACACCGATACTCTGACCAAAACAAAAAAAAATTAACACTGATTCATTATTGAAATAGTTAATATTTTAAAACTATCCAATAATCGTGGGTATTTTTTCTGAAAGTGTTGTCGATTTAACAAGTTGTTCGTCAAAATTTCGTTAGCAATGGGTCTTGACAATTGCAAGCTCTTTCCATACTCTACGGTGTTTCGATTTTTGTCCTGTTCAACGGTAGAACTGTCCAATAATCTTTGTATTGCTTTGACTTTGTGTCTCGTTAAACCATTGCTTTTATTCTCCATCTGTGATCGTTACGCGCATGTTTGAGGGACTCTTGATAACAAATAGTCATCTTTTTTATGGAGAAGGGAAACGTTGGTTTTGTGGGTATTAATAGTCGCTACGCCATCATGTGGTGAAAGAGTTAGCCTCATCACACGCTATGGCTTCTGATTCGCTTTCGTTGAAAGGTCGGTCAAACTTGGTGGGCGTTTAAATTTTTGTTCTTTATCCTCCACAGAAGCTTTCTCCACCATTCATTCAGTCATGACTAAAATGACTACACCAAACAAACAGAATTGCTGGTTTCTTTGGAGGTTTCTGTACGTGAAGAGGTGCTTCACCAGTCGACGTCCCTAACAGCGACATCATAACCCGTGACCAACTTTCCATGGCATCACCTGGATCTCTCCAGCTGCTAGTCTTACTCTTTTCATTCTTTTAGTTGTTTTTCTGTACTTTCTTTGTATAAAAACATTTCTGCAACTTAAGGATACGATATGGTTTGCTCAGCGAATTTGCGTATCGAGTAGAAATTTGAGCCGATAATCCTCAGTGACCTCCAAAGCTTAGCTGTGATGGATATCCAAATGTGATATGAGTTCGCACAACGAATGCGGTGAAACAGTTGAACAAATGTGCTCGCCACTTGGTGAAGGAAAGTGTAGACAAGCACGAAATGGGTAAGCTGTAGATGATTCTAGCTGTGATGGATCAGGAAGTAGAGCTCAAAAGACAGACGAAGAG